TGCTACTAGCTACACCCCCTGCCGTGTTAGTCAGAGTCCAGACCGGTGTTAGCCCCGACCCAGCCATGCCGCCATCCACGCTGTTAACAGTAATAGTGAGGAGGAGTGTTAGACCTGGTGTTAGTCAGGAGGAAATCCACAAGGAAATCCACAAGCCGTTAGTTTCTGCTGGAAGGAACAGACCAGGAGGGCAGGAGTTAGTTGAGGTTGAAGGAGAGGTTAATTAAGAGCCGGTCAGAGCCAGGCTAAGAGCCTGGAGCCCCCAGATGGGCAGGGCTGGCTGTTAATGGCCAGCCATCCCCCCAGGGGCAGCCAGGGCAAGGCAGGGATTAGCTGGGTGAGAGCAAGGGTTAGCGCAAGGGAGCCAGAGAGTAGCCCAAAGAGACCGAGGTGCCTACTGGAGGTGAGGTGCAGAGTCACCCCCAGGTGTGGCCCTGGCCTAGCGGCTGGCGGGCTCTGGGTGGGGCGGGCTGGGGCCAGGGTGTGGGTCCGAACAGGCCGGTGGGGGGCCAGGGACGAGCTCCCGGCTGGCCTGAGGGGTTGCAGAACCCTGTGGGGCTCTGGGGTTCATTTCTTGCTTCCCACTGCCTCCTCCTGCAAACTCCAGACCCAGAGGATCTCTGCTTTCTTCCCTGCCCCCTCAAGCTCCCTGGCAGGGACAGCCCTTCTCAATGACTTCCAGTAAGACAAATGGCCCTCATCTACTCCGGGTGTGGGACATCCAGGATCCCAGCCTCCGGCACGGGAAGGGCCCCTCTAGCTAACTTCCTGTCGTAGGAGCAGCCACTGTCACTGGTCTCTTGGCCATACCTTCTCACCGCCTTGTGAGCAGGCCAAAGATGCCCCTCTTGCTGACTTCCGGTGTAAGAAATGCCCTTCTCCCCATCCTTCAAATACGGGAAATGCTCCCTCTGACTGACTTCCTGTACTAGATGCCCCACTCCGTAGTTTCCAGTATGGGAAAAGCCCTTATGCTGGCTTCCCTTACTGACTTCTAGTGTGAGGCAAGCCCCTTGGCTGACTTCCAATGCGGGACATGCGCGCGCCCCCCCCCCCATTGACTTCCTGTGCAAAACCAACTTTCCAAAGGGGAAAATTCTACCCTCGCTTCCCTCCAGAGGAGGACACACAGGCCCCTTCTCTCTGATCCCTTGTCTGGGAAAAGCCCAGAGCGCCACACTCTAGACCCACAGGCCTCCACACGCACACCCCAGAGGCTGCCCTGGTCCCGCCCACTCCCAGTGGCAACCAGACTTCCGCACGGAGGGGAGATGCTCAAGCGCGGAGGCCAGCCTCCGTGTCCACATGACCACCTCCTCCTCCTCCGGGCCGCCCGTGCGGTCAATAGGGCTGTCCCCTGCCTCAGACCTGGCCCCGTGGGCTCTGAACTCAGAACTCACAGCCCCTTGGGGCAGCCAAGTGGAGCATCTGCCTGCAGGGCCAGCCCCAGGCCATCTGCTTGCCAAAAGGAGGGAGGACCAGCCCCCGAGGGGGCCCAGAGCTCGGCAGGGCTGGGGTTAGTAAGAAGAGAAAACGGGGTTAGTAGAGGCTGGGTTAGTAGGTCAGGGCACAGCACCAGCAGACAGGGGCACCTCAGCAGACACACACAGGAGGCACTAGGAGAAAAGGGAGAACGCACGCGGGCCCGTTAGTTTGTTAAGGGACGGTCGGGGTGCACCCGAGACCCCTCCGGGTTAGACGGGTTAGTAATCGCACACAAGAGCCGCCTACAGAAAAGAAGGCTGAGGAGGAGGAAGAGTGTGGGGAAGAGACGGTTAGGGGTTCAAAGCGAGTGTCTGGCCCCAGGCAGAAGGGTCTCTGTGCAGGACACCCAGAGGACCCAGGGCTGGGCAGGGTTCATGGTCAACCAGCTTTTCTGGGTCTCCCACCCTCACCCCAGCTCCTTTTTGTTGTTGTTTTAAGTATCTGCCACTTGTCCTTCATATTCATAGGACTCCTCACTGAACCCCGTGAGGTAAAGATCAGGACTCCCAAACCACTGCTGAGGAAATGGGGTTCAGAGAGGTGAGGTGACTGCTCGAAGCCGCCTGGCAGGAAGTGGCAGCACCGATGAGTTCCACTGCACGCCCTGCCCTGGAGTGCGGGCCTGCACAGAGACCCCAGGCCGTGGGCAGGGCCTTCCGGAGCCTCGTCCGCCCCCACGTCCCCGCCCCTTGAAAGGCCCTTGAGCTGCAAGGTTAGTAGGGTCAGGCTGCGGGGAGTTAGTAGGGCATGCTCGGGCCTGGTTAGTGGGTTAGTCGGTTGGCGGAAGGCCAGGCACCTGGTCACACGCCACAGCGTCCCGGCCGAGCCCTGGGTTAGTGGGTTAATCACACCATGCAACACTGCCCCTCCCCTCCGACTGCAGCTCCAGAGGCCCCCGCCGCCCCTAGCTGCGGAGCCTGGCCTGACCAGGGCAGGGGGTCTGCCTCCCGGCCCCACAGCCCCACCCGAACCAAGACCATCCACATGGACCCTGCCCAGAAGCATTCTGCTTCCCGGTTTTGAGACTGTGGGCCTCAGAGGCCCTCCCCCCGAACATTTCAGTTCCCCTGAAAATACACCTCGCTTGTCTTGGCTAGAAACCCCCTGCTCGGTTCTGGTCAGGCCCTTCCCAGAGGGCTGGATCCTGTCACACTCACACACACACACACACACACACACACACACACGTACACACACATCTTCCCACGAAATGGCCGATGCCCCAGAACCACTGTGTGCGGTGGGCTTCTCCTCTGGGCACCACCAGCTGGGCCCCTGGCTGCTCCAGCCACCACCTGTCTCTGCCTCCTCCCCACGAGGCGCTGAGCTCACCAATACCCAGAGTCAAGGTCAGACGTCCTTGCCCCTCCTGGTCTATGGCCTTTCCAGCTGATGCTGAGAAGCACCTGCGTGCACCCCACTTACGGCACCTCCCACCATTGCTGTAACTTTCCCACAAAAACTTCAGCATTTTCCCAGGTCTTGCTGACACTCTGTTGAGAGAGAGAGACTCTGCCCAGTACAGTTTGGGGGAAACACCTCATCCTCCGTCTGTCCTTGAGTATTCAGTGTCCGGCAGCACTGGGAAGGTTCTGCTAAGTCTTACAGTACAGAAACCTACTGAGTTTGAGCTCACTTTTTTTTTTTTAAAGCAATGGCACCTCCTGGAACTCACTTTGGAAATCTCTGCTCTAATTCCGCGCCCCCCACCCCAGCTCCCGCTGGAAGCTCTCAGCTAAGCCACATCTTTCTCAACTTTCAACGCCCTGATGGGGTGGGCCCTGCTGGGAAGTCTGTGCAGGCCGCTACAGCCCACTCCGGGCCCTCACCCCCACACCCCAGCCCTCAGAACCTGGGCCTCCGCACACTGGTTTCTGCCCCGCCCTCCAGCTCTCCCTGGGGAGCTGGTTTTCTCCCACTCGGCGAGGCCGTGAAGTCTGAGCGTTGGGACTGCGGCTAGATCCTCACCTGCACCTCTCCCCAGTGGCTGCCCCAGGAAGGGCTCCCCGCAGACGCTTGATACTGCTGTGAGGGGGGAATTTAGATGCCCCAAGAAGCTTCGGAGCTACTACTGCGGAGGCCACCAAAGGCAGCCACTTCCCCAAGCTGCTCAGAGAGGGGTCTTAAGAAAAAGGGCAGGGGAGGGGCTGGTCAGAAACGCCTCTGGATTGGAAGCTGCTGACTCTCCAGTCCAGAGCACCGGAAACAAGACAAATCCTAGATCTAAACTCCCAGGGCAGGGAGCGTTTAGTGAGCACCTATTAAAATGCAGGCCCCGTTTCCAGCACTTGATGCCACTGAATCCCCCCAGACCACCCCGCCCCCCGCAGGGGAGCACAGAGTGGTCTCCCGCTACAGAGTGGAAGTCAGACTCGCAGAAGTGAGGGGACGGGCAGGGTGCGCACCCTCAGCCCAAAGCCCAGGCTCTTCCCAGGGCACCCCTCTCCCAGGGGCTCCTCCTCACTGTCCTGCGTCCAGCCAGGTCTGTGCATCCCCAAGGCACCCAGGGCCCCCCTAGCCCAGGCCCCCCACACTCTGTTACAACTGCCTGTAATGGGCTGGTTGGTATCCCCAAATTCACAGGTTTCAGCCAGGACCCCCAATGTGACTCTATTTAGAGACGGGGCCTTGGAAGAGGTCATTAAGGCTGGATTAGGGTGGGGCCCTAATCTGGTAGGACTGGGGTCCTTGTAAAAAGAGAAAGAGACACCTGATCTACCCTTCCCCACCCCCACCTCTGGGTGTGTGCACGAGAAAAGGCCGTACGGGGACACCGAGAAGGTGGTCACCTGCAAGCCAAGGAGGGAGGCCTCCGGGGAAACCAACCCTGGCACCTTGACCTTGGACTTACAGCTCCAAAACTGAGAAAACACATTTCTGCTGTTGAAGCCGTTCCATCTGCGGCACTCTGTAGTAACGGCAGCCCGAGCTGACCGACACTGGCCCCCTCCCCACCCTGGGAAAATGACACCTAGCTTTAGGCTTGCTGAGGAAGCAGCAGGGCGGGTCTTGTGCACACACTGGGACCAGCGGCTCTGGAAGGGGAATGGCGAGGTGGGCGTGACTGAACCTGTGTGGCGGGAGAAGCGCCGGGCCTGCCCTGCCTGCCCTCGCCCCACAACAACGGAATCGAGGAGCAGGGCTCTGAGGTCCCGCCTGCGCCCTTTGGGTGCTGGGAGCAGGGCCCAGGGTGTGTCTCCTGGGGAGCCCCTGGGCTGGGTCTCCTCCTGTCTCGGCGGAAACCCTCCTCTTTCAGGGCAGCACCCCCCACCCCCAACCCCCCACAGCCGCCCCCTCCCAGACCCTGGCCGCCTCCTCCCAGGGGCCATCAGAAAGAAGACGAGCACGAACTATCCCCACCCGACAGCGTCCCCCACGGCGAGCACCACTCCCGAGGCAGATGGCGCAGAACAGACTGAGCGGAGCCGCGTCTGCCCTCCCTCCCACTGGCAGCTCCTCCCGACTCCCACCCCGCGCTCCTGCCACCCCTCCCCCGACACCCACACATCCTGTAGGGTCCGTGGGACCGGCCTTGGGGAGGGTGCGGTCAGTGGGGTCTCTGCCCAGGCTGGCTCCTCCCACCAGCAGACATTCAAGGAGGAGCCAAGTCTGCGCAAGGTCAGAAAGTGAAGGCCCCGGAGGCGGGTCCAGGCGGCTGCAGAGGGGGCGGTCGGCTGCCGGCCGCCCTCGCACCCCTGGAGCTGGCCTCCCTGGCCAGGTCCCCATGTCCCTGAGCATCGACCAGGAGAGGCTCCATCCCAGGAGTCGGGCAGAAGAAGGTCTTGGGAGAAAGAGCGAGGATTCCAGAAAACCACCGGAGGCTGCTCCCGTGCCCCTGCGGACGGAGTCCCGCGGGCTCCAACGACGAGACCAGGCCGGGAGTCCCGGAGCGGCGGGGTCACCTGGGGGAGGCACAGTGAGTCAGGGTCCGGGCACAGCCTTCGTCCCCAGCACCTCAGGTCCGCCCAACCTGACGCCACATCGGAGCGGGGACAACCTCAGAGACCCCCAGGCTCCCTCCTGTGCCCCCAACACCTAGACAGGGTGTGGGCGAGGGCTCTGAACACTACGAACTTTTAGAAGAACAGGAAGTGGTAAAAGCCATGGACACCCGCCTGGTAGGACCAGCTCGGAGAGGAGGAAGCAATCAGGGCCACCCAGGGCCAGCCCTGGGGGCATCATGACCCAGGGCCAAGGGTGCCAGCGGGCAGAAGGGGACTTCAGTGTCCTTGGAAGGCCTGGGTTCCTTCTACAACATTCCCGCCAGGGAGACCTCCGCATCACCCTCCCAAAATACACAGCACACACAGACACACGCACACATACCTCCCAGGACGGGGAGCTCACTGCCTCACCGAGACTGTGACAGGGCACGTTCTCATGCGATCATCTGCGAGGGCAGAACCACGTCTACGGTGTTCGCTTCTGGATCGTCAGGCTGAGAGAAGGGCTTGGTCCGTGCGTGTGCTGAGTGAAAGGAGATGCCGAGACACCTGCCATCCATCCGCCCCCACCAAGAGCACACAGAACAAGCCTGCTTTTCAAGAGCGGAGGTGTCTGGCCAGGCCCAGACCTGGGGCGGGGTCTGAGTGGGGAGACAATCTCCCCGCATGAAGTAAGTTCAGTGGGCCCTCCCTCCCCCACCCCTACCCAGGCTCACCTGGCCTCGCCCAGCCAACACTTCGGTAGCCCGGGCCAGCTCCCGGCTCCCACGTACAGCCCCACAGGCCCATCCTGGAAGACAAAAGAGCCAACCACACTGCAGGAGAAAACTGCAAGCAGCCCCCTCCCAGGCCCAGACCCAGCCCCGGGCCTGGGCAGCATCCTCTGTTAACAAGAGGAAGGCTTGAGAGCCAGAGAGGCGGGGCCCAGGCACATCACCCTCCTCCTCCTCCCTGCCTCCCACCCAGGAACAGTTTTCACCCACTTCCCTGGTCCCCGACAACAGCAGAATGGGACCCAGGAAAGACGGAACAGAGTCAGGAGTGGGGAGTGTGGACCCCAGCTCCACCATGCTGTGTAGTCCTGGAAAGTCTGCCCCCCCACCCCAGAGCCGTGGGACCCTTCCAGCCCCGACAGTCGCCCGCAGTGCACAGCAGTGGCAGTGGGTGGGACACAGCAGGAGCCCTGGTGCTGCTCAGCCACAGTTATTTTTCTGCCCGCCCCTCCGTCAGATGCCCACTGATTCTGGCTCGGACCATCTCCCGGGTTTTGCTTTGGGTGGCAGATAAGCCACCTTCATCAACTGGCAGACCTGGGCTAGAAGAGTCAGTGGCCCCACACATTTCAGAACTCGCTGCCGGCACCTGGGACGTGGGGCACAGGTCTAGGAGTGGCGCTGAGAAGAAGGGGTCCTCCGGGCAGTGGCTGCCGTCCCCACTTGACCACCAGGCAAAGGAGCCCTGGCCAAGTCGCATAAACAGGACGACGAGGGGCCGGTACCGAGGACAGACCCAGCCTCCTTCTGAGACCACATCTGCCACTTCTCAGAGGAAGCCGTTCAACTCGGCCCCTCGGCAGTGCCTGCCGGTGGGCTTTCCAAAATACTAGCCTGGACGCCCAAAGCGGGGTGCAAAAATTACCTTTCGTGGGGTCCCATCACGTGGGGACAAGCTCTTTCTTTGTGGCACAGAGGAAGAAAAGTGAATGAGCCACATCACCAAGGTCCCCTCCCACCTGGGGACGTGTGCCTGCACAGACCAGGAGCGGGCAGGCTGGGAGGCTGTGGGCCGGTAAGTTCGAATACTTATCTGCAAGGCGGCCTCCCCGCGCGGCCTGGGCCATCCGGAAGCACTCGGAAATCCCCTTCTCCCGACTCTGCCCCAGGAACCTGCTGCGCTCTGCAAAGACGTCCTCCGGGGAGTGTGTGTGACCAGAGAGATCCTGTCCCCTGGCCCTCGTGTGCCCATCCTGGAGGTCAGTAAGACAATGGCGTTCTCATGGACAACGTTAGCTCCCAAGTCAGGCTGGCAGCTGTGTAGGAGAGAGGATTAAAGAAGGCTCTGAGGTCAGACAAACACGGATGAATCTGTGGTCCCCAACCCCACGTGTCCGGTGTGTGACCCAAAGTTCATTCTCCAAGGCTTAGCAGTGCCTGGCACACAGTAGGTGTGCCAAAAACTACTCTCACCAGTTAATGACTTAAACATGGAGTAAATCTTGGGGGAATACTGATGTCCCAGGAATACGAGCCATAGTTTTCCCGTGGCATGGGTGCCCCCTGGCGGCAGGGGCGGGGGGTGGGGGGGAGACGACACCCAGTGAGGAAGCACAGATCTAATGCAAACCCCTCCTTAGTGACTGGACCGACCACCCACAGTATATGCATCGAATGGAACCTGTTGGGCAGTGAAGAGGGACAAGCTGTTGGGACACAGGACAGCACGGATGAACCTCAAAAACGTACAGAGTGAGAGAAGCCAGGCACAAGCGACCACGTGCTGGACGGTCCCACTGGCATGAAATGCCCAGAGAAGGCAAACCTACAGAGAGGGCAAGGAGACCGGTGGTTGCCTGGGATTGCGGGTGGGGTGGAGATTAACGGTAAATGGGTGCGAGGAATCTTACTGGGGCAACGCAAACTCGAAAACCAATCGCTGGCGCTGGCGCACAACTTGGTAAATTTATTGAGAATCACTGAACCGTGTGCTCTTGAAGTGGGTGAGTTGTATCATTTAAATTATGCCTCCATGAAGTTAGACCAAAGGGATAGAACTTCTGATTCATGCAAAAACAAGTACAAGCCTAAAAAACATGGAGGAAGGAAGGAAGGAAGGAAGGAGGGAGGGAGGGAGGGAGGGAGGGTGGGAGGGAGGGAGGGAGGGAGGGAGGGAAGGAAGGAAGGAAGGAAGAAACCCAAACACAAAGTCCCCATATTCACGGCACTGTGGAATGAGCAATCGTGCCCACAGGGTAGAGAGCAGGCCGGGGGTTTCCCGGGCCTGGGGCTGGAAGACGACTGGCAGTGGGCTTTGTCGGGGGGTACGATGTTTTCTATGTTGATTGCCATGGTGGTTAGCTAGGTGTATGTCTGTTGAAGCACACTGAAATGTACCCTTTAAATGGGTGCGTTTCATTGTACGTCAACTATGCGTCAGTGAGGTCATTTTTGTAAAACTTGTTTCCATGTGATGACAGAGGACAAGAACCGAGGCAGGCAGGATGAAAGCCCACACAGGGACCTGGTGGGGGCCCCAGAGCCCAGCATCTCAGCGTCCACTAGCCCACGAGAGCCATGCCCCACCCACTTCAAGCCAAGGTCAGGTGCCCCATCAGAGAAGCTTTGATTGAGGGACTGGAGCCCAGAGAATCCTGGAGGTCCTGCCTACCTCTGAGGTCCAGGTCTCAGCATACACGGATTTCACAGTAGACAGGCATGAATGCGGTGTGAGTGCGGTGAGTGCTGGTCTCTACCGCCCCACGGGCGCACTGAGGAGAGGACGGGTCATCTTGGCCACTCCTCCGATGCTGTTAGGGCCACCGTGGCCTCGTGAACGTGTCTGGAGCGACACAGGCAGGCGGAGAGATGCTTCCACCTGTCATCAAGAGAGAAAGAGAGAGGGGCGGGGGGATAAAGATGTACCCATGGGCACGTTGGAGCCTAGACACAGGGTCCTGGTCTGAAATCACAGCCTGTGCCCAAAACTGATCTCTTCGGATGCAGAGCAGAAGCAAAGCAGGAGACTGGGGGGTATCTAGGTTGGGCCAGCGCCAATCAAAACACCCTAACCACTGGGGCTTTAGGGCGCGGGTCCCTGTCCTGCTCTCCCGCCCTGCACAAGCACATCACCCCTCTGGGTCTGGCCTCCTATCACGACATGGAGACAGTGAGTGCCCAACCCCAAGGCTATTATGGGGATTAAATGGGACGATAAATACTCTCTGTCCACTTGCATTCTCTTCTACTACCTCGTGCACGCTGCTCACTAACACTGCCCAGAGGCTGTTCACTTCCCCCCTCCCCAAACTCTGTGTGCTGTTCCTGGTAACGATGAGCAGCTGCCAGGAAAACATGCATTCGGTTGCATTTTAGGATCCCGCTGGGTTTTGAGGTTTTTCCCTGACTCTGGAATAAAATAGCAGAGATAAGAGGCTTATGGGAAGCGCTGGCCTAAATTGCTCTGGATGAGTGAGCGCTGAGAAGTCAGGAAGCTCCTGGGAATAACACCATGTGCTCGCAGGAGACAGGCTGAGGGGCACAGAGGCTTCTGCAGGGGCGCAGAACGTACCGTTTCTAGACGGAGTCAAACGGCGTACCCAAAGGAGGAACTTCGGGACTCAAATCTCCCTCAAACGAGGGAGCCTCTGAGCTGGGGGGAGGGGAGGGGAGGAGAAAAGCAAGAAGGAGGGAGAGGAAGGTCAAGGAACATTTCCCGAGGACAAATACTAATAGGGCACACCTTTATCTACCTGACGAAACAGGAGCTGGGTTTTATTGTCCCCATTTCACAGATGAGGAAACTGAGGTTCGGAGTAAAGTGCCTGGCTCCGAGATCACCCCCGAGAGAAAATGGTGCAAATGGATTCTAAACAGGCCCGCTGGACCCCAGCGGGGCAGAAGACGTCTGTTCAAGCGTGGGGGTGGGGATTAAGTGCGAAAAGGCCTGAAGGGGGCACTTGCAAATGGCAGACACTCGTCGTCAACATTAGTGTTACTGTGAAGACACTGGACCTCGACTGCTAAACCGTCTCGGATGGGTTTACTCTAATTACTTCGACGATCTTGAGACGATTCGTCCACTTTTAGGAGAGGCAGTATTGTCGTGCAGTGCAGTACAGTGCCGTAGTTACAAACACGTTTCAGAGTTATTCACGGACCAGATTCAAGTTCAAATCCTGGTTCTACAATGAACGTGCTGTGTGACCAGGGGCTAGTCACTTCACCTTCCTGAGCCTCAGCTTCTCGTCTGCAGTGCTCACCTCCCAGCCTTACCGCGGATGACGCAGTGTCCGGCGAGAACCTTGGTACATGGTTACTAAACAGTAGCTGGAGCTGGTCAGTTAATGATCTACTCCACACCCCTGAGCACACAGCAGTTCAGCCCCTCCCTCCCTTCCATGCATCATTCAGTAACCTCCAGAGGGGCCCACCTGGCACCACCAGGCAGAAGGGGACACCTGCCACATCTGATCCAATCAGCGGACGGAGGGATGGGGAAACAGATGTCACCCTCAGCAGGCCCCTGCCTCTGCCCCTGAGTGTCTCGGGCTATTGTTCCGGAGCTCCAGCTGACAGATGAGCCCTGCGGAGCAGAGGAGAGGAAGGATCCCCTGGGAACAAAGGCTTCTGCTGCAGTTACTCACCAGCCCATTGAACCTGCACAATGGGCCCAGGGCTCCAGAAACACCCTACCCGCTCAGCCCAAGGCTCACCCTGAGGAACCAACAGCCCAGTCCACACGAAAGCAGAAAACCGAGCGTCTGTGCGGGACTCAGGGGCCGTGGAAGTGAACTCCGTGTGTACACGGTGGTTGCACTATAGTGGCAGTGTCTTCATGAAGCACCTACTGGGCGTCAGGCATTTTACAAACACTGGTTCAGAGCCGCAGCCTTTTAAAGCAGGGCCCCTGATTCCCACGTCACAGATCAGGAGACTGAGGCTCCGGGAAGGGAAATCACCTCCTCACTGAAGCTGACACAGACAATAGGTGGAGGGAAGGACCCTTTCTCTTCCCAGCGCACCACGCGGCCTCGGTGACTGATAAATTCACAGAGCATAGTCCTGCCCTGGGCGAAGCATGGATCAGGTCCAGAGACACACACTTAAAAACGAGGGTGGACACAAAGAAAACAACCCGCAGGTCCAACGATAGGAAGCTGAGCAGAGCGAGTGTGTGTTTATCTCCTTCGTGAAACACCAGCCCCCTCACAACGATTTCTGCAGAGGGCATGAAAGCGCGGAGAGACGCCTTTGATGTAACTTTGTTAAAACCCTACACCTCCCGCACAGTCTCAGTGAGTACTTTCCGTATAGAAACAGGTACCAGAAGAAGATACGTGGAAACGGTAAATACAGAAGTTACTCTTGGGCGATGGAACTGTGGCGTTTTCTCCCCTTCTTTTTCCTCAAATCTTCTATGATTATCATGTGTTTATGAAGTGTATCAAATTCGTAAAAATCCCCCCCAAATCATAAAATTCTCCTCTGGAAGCGGGCGGAGAGAGTGGTTCTCCCGAGGCTCCGGGTAAGGAGTTACCTGAAGGCCTGAGGACCGAGCCCTCGCCTCCGCTGAAAAGTGGAGAGGTGGGCGGGAAAGGCAGGGAGAAGGATGCAGGGTCGATTTCAAAGTCTTTCTCCATGGAGGGTCACTAGCAATAAAAGAGGTGGGCTTTGGGGGCACAGGGAATGTCACCGCAAAATCCTTCATCATGAAATTAACTAAACTCAGTATGGGTTTTCCAGGCCACCCAAAAGCTAGGTGCTGGCAAAGCGTCTCCGAGGAAACCATTGTGCCCCGACTGCTACATGGTTCTGGGCCAGGGGTGAGGGCAGACGAAGGCGGGGAACTGTTCTCTCAACCCGCGGTCCGTCCACGGGCAGGAGGAGAGGGAGGCAGGGGTCGGAGGACACACCCAGACGTCCAGCCCCACCCAGTCCTGCTGACTCATGCCCTGGCCACGTGGCCCGCACGTCTGCGTATTTGAAGCTCCGCCCCTGGAGTCTGAGCACCGCTGTCCTCAGGTTTCCCTGTCTGTCAAGTGGAATTACTCATCCCTACCCCGCTACCCCACCCCACGCCCAGCGATAGAGAAGCCCCGAGACGCTCCCAAATGGGAATGTGCTTTGGAAAGTAAGGCACTGCGACCCTGGGCCGCGCTCCGTCTGAGGCCGGCGCCGAGAAAAACAAAGCCGCTTCCAGCACGTTAACTCACCTTTCTCTCCCCACCCTCCCCGCACTACTGCCTCCCTCCCGTCTTCCCCCAGCCGCAGGTGGGGGCCTTTTGCCCGCCGCGGCACTGCAGTGGGGTGTGCGCGCCAGCCACCCCGGCTCGCGGCAGCCCCTGGTCTGGAGCCCGGGATGAGGGTGGGGAATCCAGGCTCGCGGGGCCTCCCCCTGCCTGCACCGTCCAAGAAGCAATTTCTCTAGCCCAGGGCCCTCCGCTGGGGAGAGGAGAGAGCTGGCCCCCTCCCTGCCCAATTCTCAGCCTCTCCAGAGAAGGTGTTGGCGGGGAGGAGAGGTGGGCAGGGAGCTGGCGGCTTCTGGGGTCTCCTCAGCTCCACTTGGGGGTGTAACCTGGGCTTTAGAGTCGGACATACCTGGACTCAGAATCCCTAGCTCTGCGATCTTGGACGCGCATGTAACCCTCTCTGGATCTAAATTTCCTCACCCTTAGAATGGGACTGTTGTGATTCGCATGCAAAGCACTGAGCATGCTGTTGGCATGGGGTAAGCTCTGCGTAAACTGATGGATCGGTATTACAGTTATCAATGGTTTTCTGCCCCCTCCACCCTTTTGGAGCCACACACAGGACGCCAGACATCTGGAATTTTGAGTCCCAGAAGTGGAGCATTGGTAGGAGATAGTGGGTGGGTGGGGTTTCAATGTGAGGGAAGGGGGCTCCAGGACTCTGCTCCACCAACCCACCCTCACCCCCAGTTCTGAGCCCACTGGGCTCTGTCCAAGATTTGGCCAGTTAACAGCTAACCTGGTGGATGGGAAAGGTCCAGGGTCCCCTCGTGTCTGTCTAGGAGCGGTGGGGAGAGGAAGGTCTTTGTTCCCCGTCCGCACCGCACTCCCAGCGCGTCCTTCCCTCTCCCTTCCCCGGCGCCCCACCCAAGCCGGCGTCTTAGCTGCATTTGATAACTGCAGGCTGGAGGAAGAGGCTCTTCATCCATCAAATCAGGGGCACTTTAGGCAGCGTTTGCCATCCCCTGAACCCTGCCTGGGACCCTGGGACCCTGCACCCTACCCTTGGGGAATTAGGCTGTTCCGGGAGCGGAGACAGGGATGCTTGCGGAGAGGGCGCTGTGAGGATGGGGCGGCGGCTCACCTCGAGTCGGCGGTCCTGCGGCTCGAGTGCAGAGGTCTCTTTGTGCCCGGGCTCACAGCGCAGAACTGGGGAGCCCCTGCAAGCGCCTCCCATCGCAAACTCCTCCCCGTACTCGTCCGCAGCCTCCCTCCCTCTGGTCCCCCGAGCGCAGCCGGCATCGTCTTTGCAGCTGCTGCAGCGCCCAAGAAATTTTAATGCGGGAGCGTCTGGCAGGCGGAGGTGCCCCACCCCCGGCCCTCGCCTCGGCCCTCCTCGCCCCTCCCCGCACCCCTGCCACACTACATTCCACCCCCTACTTCCTCCCGGGGGTCCGGACCTGGGAGCAGGGGTGCGGCCGGGAGCCGGGGGGCACCGCTGCCCCCACCGCACAAAGGGATGAGCTTTGAGGCGCGCTCAGCCTCCAGCATCCCGGCCCGCGGCGCTGCCATGGCAACGCTTACGCGGCTGGACCTAGCAGCCGAGAGCTCAGAGATGGAGAGGCGCGCTTGCGGTGCGCGACCGCGGACCAGGGGAGCGGAAGCCTGGACCCAGGCGTACCAGGACGAAGAGACTGGTCCTGGGGTACCAGCGGCTTAACCCGCACAGCCTCGGCGTCTGCCTCTCGGTTTACCCTGCTGGATGGACACGTGCCCGTGGTGGAGGCGAGATTTGAACCCAGCCTGGGACTTCGCGCCCATGTTCGTGCCACTCCATCGCTTGGCCTAACTTTTACAGATTTGGTGTGGGTTAATTTTTTTGTTTTGTTTTTCGCTGTCCACTCCTTACTACCTACTACTTCTAGAGCTAGAAAGTAGTCCTAGATCAGCAGTGCCAACATCCCTTAGAATGTGAGTTCTCAGGCCTCCCCGCAGATCTCCTGGATCAAAACCTGTGCGGTGGGGACCAGAGATTTGTGTTTTCGTAAGCCTTCCAGAATATTCCGAGGCACGTTCAAGCTTGAGGACCACGGTTCTAAAACAGTGATTTCCAACCTTTTATATATATATATCTCATGGCACATATAAACTACTAAATTTTGCAGCACACCCAAAATATATTTTTTGCCGATCTGACAAAAATAGGTATAATTTTGATTCATTCACACCAGACACCTATTGTTGGGTTGGCTGATGTTTTTTTATTTGACAGTCTAAGGGGAAATGGGTCAGTGCCCCTGACTAAATGGTCGGGTGTTGCATGTTTTAAAAATTCTGCAGCACTCCGGCCGAAGATCGCCATTTTAGCCGTGACCCGGGCGGCTCACTTGGCTGGGCGTCATCCGGCAAAGCGAACGGTCCTCGGTAGGATTCCCCGCCAGGGCACAGGCCTGGGTTCCGGTTTGGTCCGGGTCTGGGCATGCGCGAGAGGCAACCCATCTGTTTCTCTCTCACATCAGTGTTTTTCTTCCTCGCTTTTTCCCCTGCCCCCTTTCCTTCTCTCTAAAATAAATGTTAAAAATCTTGTTTTTTTTTTAATTAGCCCTGGCTGGAGTGGCTCAGTGGAGTGAGCGCCAACCTGCACACCAAAGGCTCACCTGCCTGTTCAATTCCCAGTCTGGGCACATGCCTTGGTTGTGGGTCAGACCCCCCCAGTAGGGGGCGCTCTAGAAGCAACCACACATTGATGTTTCCCTCTCTCCCTCCCTTCCCCTCTCTAAAATAAATAAATAATTTTTTTTTTTTTTTTAAGAAATCACTGTTCTAAACCATCCCAGTGGCCTCTATAACTACACCGTCCTGGGTTTCAATGTCAGCGCTGTCCATGTCCCTAAGCTGATTCCTAAACTTCAGTTTCCTGGTCTGCAAAGTATCTGTAATATTAGAATCCACCTCTTAGGGTTTTGTGGATTAAATGAGGAAATTCATGGGCAGGGGTGCCAGGTAGGAAAGCCTGGCATTTAGTACGGGCTCAAAAACATGTTTTTATTATAGTATTATTTATCTTCTTTCATTTTCACCCTCCCATGTACATTATTTATCATCTTCACGGCTCAGATAAGGACATTAAGGCTCAGGGGGGCAAGGAGAGCTGCCCACAGGTACTCTAGGGGACCAGGGGGGATCCGAACCTACCACTTCAGGTTCCAAGTGTACTAGCCATCCTCCTTACTGCCCATCTCTTGCTGGGACCCACAGCTTTGATCTTCAGAAACCCCAGCCCTGATTCAACAAACCTGCAGCCACATTTCCAATGATCCCAGCCCAAGGTCATTGCAGGAACCCGGAAGGCCCCAGGGAGGTCCCAGATGCAGCCTCCACCCGGGCAGAGCTAGCAATTCTTCCAGAGGAGACCCACGTGGAGCAGGCACCAGGGGGTGAGGCCACAGCACTGGCCGCAGCACACGGCCACACTGCTGTCGTTACCAGGCCTGGGAGCTTCTGCTGGGTCGCCAGACCACAAACAAGGAGGGGATGGTGCCCAGCGTGGCATGCTCTCCACGGACACAGGGGGTGCATAGGAACCGCTCTCTCCTTTCAAGGATTCTCAAGCCACCTTTTCTGTATGTCTGTTCCTGAATTTCCTGAGGATCAGCCTATCGTTTCCAACATCCATTTGGAAAAAAATGAAGGTACTTGCCAGGTCCCGATTTTCAACTCTTCTTCTGTTCCCTGGGGCTTCTCGAAGCTGAACAGTGATGAGTCCAGGGTCCCATTTCCAAGTATCCTGACTCCAGGGAAAGCCTTTCCAGGAGAGCAGCAGGGCGAGGGAGGGGGCAGGAGCGGTGAGTACGAGCAGCCCCTGCGGGCTCACTGCAAGGTGATCACGTCCAGCTCCGTCGACTCAGGGCGAGCCTTACACTGAGTCACGTGAGGAGGAGCAGACCCCGCAGCCAGCAGATGCCAAAACCAGTGTGGGCTTGCCTGCTGTCCTCTGTCCCTGCTTTTCTAACACAGTACCTTTTTTTTTATCATGGGTTGCCCAAACTGGCCATCCTGATTCAGCTGGTCCTTTGCCCTTCTTCTACCCACCTGCTGAGTGCTCTTAGGGCGAGCAAAACCGTCCTTGGCACCCCCCACTTTCCTGGGCAGGGTCAGAGACCTGCAGCGCCTGCTTCCTCTCCTGTGGGCCCTGGGCACAGTGACCACCTCCTCTGGGACCCACATCTAGCCTAACAGCTAGAGCTGGCGTGCTTCTTGCTCCCCATCAGTGGCACTCTGACCCTCCCTTTATCTTTCGGGAAGACCAAGGACATGGCAGAGCACACCCCAAGATGGTAAATGTCATCCTCACCACATCTCGCCAGTCTTCCAGGTGACGTGTACGCGGCTGACTCGAGCCCCGAGAGCCCGAGAGCCAGTGACAGTAGCAGATGGATACCCCAAAGAGAAGCAGCAATATTCTCTCCAGTCTCTATTGAAAGGGGCCTGAGCTGCTTCATATGGAGTGTCGGTTGCCATGACAACGGGGAGGGCACCCTCGTACTGGAGGTCCACTTCAGAATAAAGTTTGCCTCCTTAAACTGGACCAGGTGGGTACCTCACCTATTCCCATGAGACATCACAGCTTCGAGGATCCGCCAGCTACATAGTCTTTGGCTCATGACACAGCCCAGCGGCCCAAGATGTCCAGGGGAATTCCGACCCTGGTAACATGTCCAGCAGAGGGGACCCAGGGGTCCTCACCTCTAAAGCAGCCCCTGCAGAAGTGCAGGCGGCCCGAGAGGTCGGGGCTCCAGTTGCAATTCTATCACCAGCTCCCCGGGGTACCCCTGAGCTCTCATTTGTTGGTTTGTTCGTGTTTTGAAGTGAACTTCACTTAACGTAACACGAACCACTTTAGAGGGAACAATTCAGTGGCATTTAGCACATTCCTAGTGTTGTGTAATCACCACCTCTAGCTGCTTCCAAAACATTTCATCACCCCCAAGTAATACCCCTCACCCCTTAGGCAGTCACTCCCCAGTCTTTCCTCCCCCACCCCAGCCCCTGGCAACCACAAATCTACTTTCTATATCTGTAGGTCTACCTCTTCTGGTTGTTTCATATGTAAGGAATCATGCAATAGTTGTCCTCTCGGGTCTGGCTGATGTCACTCAGCATGACCTCTTAGGGGGTTATCCATGCTGTAGCAGGAGGTATCAGTATTTCTTCCCTTTCGACGGCTGGCTGCGAGCCCATCACATGGCTATAACCCAACTTGCTCACCCACTCCTCCACCAGCGGGTGGGCATTCGGCTTGTTCCAACCTTTCGGCCGTTGTGAGTAATGCTGCTGAGAACTTGCGCATCCAAGGATCTGTCTGAGTCCCTCTTTTCCATGTTGGGGGCACATACCTCTCTGTGCCTCTTTTTATGCTCCTCGATGAGCCTAGTCAAGGGGTTCTAGAGGAGTGGCCAGGTGGGCTTTCTCACCTTGGAACCTAAACTACACACACACACACACACACACACAGTGCCACCTCTCCGCCTGGCCACAGCTGTGGGAACCCCTGAGGACAGGCCCTGGGAAAAGCCAGCTCTTGTCTGCCCTCCAGCCACATTATTAACGGAGACTGCGCTCCCATCGGGCTGTCCGGGGAGTGCCTCTCTGACAGCTGTCTCCCCAATAAGTTTCACCCAGATACATGATTTCATTCTGACGCAGCCAAGCAGCCACCCCTGCCGGGGTGGGGCTCCCTGAATTCGGGGGGAGGGGTGCTGGTACAGCTGAGGAGAAGGATGTTTGGTGTGGCCCAGAGGGGGAAATGTCTTTCAACAATTCCCTATAGCTACAAAATTTTCTGTAACCACTTAAATGGTTACAGAAGGGGAACTTGACCCCTTGACCCTTGCTTGACACAATTCTAAGTGCTTTACCGGTCCGTATACACCCTCTGGGGAAGGGTTGGTATCACCTCTGGCTGACAGATAAGGTAAGCGAGGCTGAGAGGGGAAGTGACCTACCCAAGGTCAGCCAGCTAGAAAGCGGTGAAGCTGAGGTTCAAAACCAGCACGGTCTGACTCCAGAAGCTGCGCTCAGAAGCTCTAAAAAACTGTCTGTATTTGCGCTCAGCTCTTCCTTCCCCTCGGAGAGATGTGCAGCCCCACAGCTGCTGGACAGTGACCCGGCCACCTTGCTGGGGTCGTCCTGGGGTCCGTTCAGTCGCCCTGCCCTGGGCACGTCCAGAGGCAGTCCATCTCTGCCTCAGTCTAGGAGGGACATCC